CCCGTTCTCCTGGCAACCAGGCTCCCCGCGTAGGTGTTGCCCAGAGTCACCTGGTGGACCTAACAAAAGTCACCTTCCTCACTCCCCACACTTGGGAATTATGAGGGTTTGAGAGCAGAGAGCCAGGAAGTGCGGACAAAGAGCAAATCTTCATCTGCTTGTATATCACAGTGTCCGAGGTGCCTTTTCCGGCTCTCTGGGGCTCTCACGGAGGTGAGGACCATGCTCTGAGAGGACGCCATCTGGTCATCTGGGGAAGCCCACCTGGGTGTCAGGAGTCCCAGGTGACGACCCTGAGGCAAGAGAGAGTGGACCCCAATTGCCAGAACAAGGAGGGAACCCCAGAGAACCCTGGGCTGCCCCCACTGTCCGCTCTGGGAACTCTGGGCATGGCGGGTCAGGCCGAGCCCCTTCTTACTCCCAGATCCCTGCTCTCAGGGAGTCATGGGCCTTGGTCTGATGGTCTGGACTCAGGTCAGCTGAGGCAGGATCGTGGGCCCTGGCAGGAGTCAAGGACCCAGCGGCCTCCCCTTCCCAGGGAGCTAGGAGGCCCCGGGTGGGTGCGGTCAGAGGTGGACACGCTCACTTCTGTTCGGTCTCGGGGCTCTGTGGTCTTGTTCTGAGACTGGGGCTTCAGGCCAGCAGAGGGGCGGGCCCAGGCCCTGCCAGCGCTAAGGTAAGTCCCCTGAGGGAGCAGGGGCCACCACCCTCTGGAAGTGGGGACCTCGCAGCGTCAGACCCGCTCTCCTGTCTGCCCTGGGGGCCCTGGGCGCCCTGGGCTGTATTCCCAGTCTGCACCCTGAGGTGCCTCCCCCCGCCCCCCCGCAGGGGACTCGGGAGCTGGGAGGTGAAGCCCTGGGTCTGAGGAGCAGAGGAGAGGAGAGCAGAGGAGAGAGAGAGAGAGCAGAGGAGAGAGAGAGAGAGAGAGAGAGCAGAGGAGACCCTGGACTTCCCTCCTTCAGTTTTGAAGGGGACGGGCTGCCCCGGAGGAGAGACCCCGTGCGAGGCCCGAGAGGGCCGGTACGGGGAAGACCCGGAGTCCCCTTCGTCAAGGCGGCCGAGGGCACCTTCCTCAGCTGAGGCCCTTCACACCCCCCCTCTCTCCCAGGCCCTTGGGTCGCTTCGCCCAGTCCTGCCCGCACCTGGGGCTGCTGCCGGACACAAGTCATCATGCCTGTGGGCGGGAGGAATGAGCTCCGGAAATTGGAGGAGGCTCCTCAGGACCCCAGGGAGGCCCAGCGCCTGGCGGATGCGCAGCTGTATGAGGCTTCGGGGTTTGCGGAGGCCCTGTCTCTCTCCTCCTCCCCCTCCTCCCCCTCCTCCTCCTCCTCCCCCTCCTCCTCCCCCTCCTCCTCCTCCTCCTCCTCCTCCCCCTCCTCCTCCAGTTTCTCCTCCTTCTTCTCCTCTTGTTCCTCCCCCTTACCCTCCTCTTCCTCCTCCTCTTCCTCCTCTTACTTCGTCCTGTTCCCTAATACCCCGGAGGAGGAGTCGGCTTCTGGAGGCTCGAGTCCTCCCCAGAGCCCTCAGAGGGCCTTTCCCGCCCCCAGTGCCATGGCAGCCTCTCCCTGGAGCCTGTCTGAAGATAGCTCCAGCTCCGCGATGGAGGAGGGGTCTGGCACTGGGGGGGAGCCGGGGGTGGCCGAGCCCGTGCACCACGATGCGCTCCACGTGAGGGCGGTCAGCCTGGTGGGGTTCCTGCTCCAAAAGTTTCGCTCCAAGGAGCCGACCAGCCAGGCGGAGATGCTGGCGATCGTCGGCGAGGATGAGCAGGACGCCTTCCCCGGGATCCTGGGCCAGGCGTCCGAGTGCATGCGGCTGGTGTTCGGCGTGGAGGTGAAGGAAGTGGACCCCAGCGAGCACTCCTACGTCCTGGTCACCGTCCTGGGCCTCACCTGCGATGCGATGCTGAGCGGTGAGCAGGGCCCGCCCAAGACCGGCCTCCTGGTGGTGCTCCTGGGGGCGATCCTCCTGGAGGGCGACCGTGCCCCCGAGGAGGTGGTGTGGGAAGCGCTGGGGGTCATGGGGGTGTATGCCGGCGAGGAGCACATCATCTACGGGGAGCCCCGGGAGCTCCTGACCAACGTCTGGGTGCAGGAAGGGTACCTGGAGTACCGGCAGGTGCCCGGCAGTGACCCTGCCCGCTACGAGTTCCTGTGGGGTCCCAGGGCCCACGCGGAAACCAGCAGGTTGCAAGTGCTGGAGTATTTGCTGCGGGTCTATCCCGGGCTGCCGGTTTCCTCCCTGGCCCCCTCTGAAGAGGCTGTGAGCGAGGAGGAAGAGGGGGCCTGAGCCCCAGGGGCGGCTGTGGTGCGGTCCCGGCTCCGGCGGGGTCGGCACTTGTCCTGCGGGGTGCTGGGCACGAAGTGAGGCCTTTTCTCGGTTCTTCCCTGTTTCTGTGTGTGTGTGTGTGTGTGTGTGTGTGTGCGCGCGCGCGCGTGAAGCGAGAGCCCTGGGATTTCTAAGCAGTGCAGGGCCAGGGAGGGTTGGGGGGGAAATGCAGGGCAAAGAGCCTCCTTTGGGAGTGTGGAGGGCGGTTCCCTGCGATGCCTCCCACGGTCAGAGCTTGGTGTCCCTGGCGAAGCTCTCCGGTGGGCTTCCTTGTTATAGGAGGATCATTGGCTTCAGCGGCTGAGTGTGTGAGTGACATCCCCCAACACAGCGTTTGTCCTGACCCAGTTCAAGAGTTACGAGTTTTGTCATGTCCCGGAGCCGTCTGCGGGGCTCCGTTGGTTAAGCATCTGCCTTTTGCTCAGGTCAGGATCTCAGGATCTTGCGAGCTAACCCCACATCGGGCTCCCTGCTCAGTGGGGGCCTGTTTCTCCCTCTCCCTCTCTGTGTGCTGTTTCTCGAATAAATAAATAAAATATCTTGAAGCAAAAAGGATTTTGGCCATGTCCTAGAGACCAGCCTAGACACTTTGCCTCCTTTTTTGGGTTCTGGACCAGGATCCCAGGGCTGGGCCTCGGGATGGGTTGGGAAGGCGAAAGAATGGAATAGGAAGGGGAAGGGGGTCAGGAATGGGGGAAGGTAAGCGCGTGGGTTCTTGCCTCTCTGATGCCCCGCTGGCTGTCATGGTGTAAATGCCAGAGGCACACACACGGGGCTCCTGCCCTGGCTGGGTTCTTCAAGAAAGGAGGAGAAGCGTCCTCTCGGCACAGAGGGAGCTCTGCTCCCTGGCTCCTCGATTCCTAGACATGGGCTGAGTTCTACTGTCTGGAAGGCCCTGCGGGTGAGCGCGGAGGACGCTAGAAGCAGGACGCGTCCCAGCCATAGGGGACCGTGTGTGGCAGTCCCAGTCCTGGCACGAAGGTGGGCAGGCGTGCCCTGAGAGCTGCAGATGAAGCGGAAGCAGAGTGAGGGGGTGTTGCTCCCGAGGCGAGCACTGCCCTGGAAATGCCCCTGACCCAGCCCGGGTGGCAGGGCTGTGACCTGAGGGGCCCCATGATCGCTTCTGTGCTGCTGGTCACGGGGAAGCCGGGTGGTGACAGTGGCCCTCCTTGGGGATCGGGTGCTTTGGGGGCGGGAGAGATGTCTTAAACGGATAAATGCTGGGAGCAGTTTGCGTTGGGCTGTGGAGAAGGCCGAGTGAGTGTCCTGTGGCCTGAAGGTACAGCGTGCCGGGCCGTGTCACAGGGTATTTGAACGCAGTGAAGGTTCAGTGGCTTTACTCCTGCCGTCTCCACGAACGTTCCGTGGACGACAGCGGGGAATGCGCAAGTCCCGGACAGCCCTGTTCCCCCTGGACTGGGGGAGCCCCGATCCTTTCTCCTGGCCGAGGAGGCAGCGAGGGCTCCCCGGAGTTGTCCGCGGCCAGTCCTGAAGAGTGGCTGGGTGTTCGTGGGAAGAAAGGAAGGAAGCTCAGAGGTCTGCATGGGAGAGAAGCTGAAAAGAGGCATCGAGGTGGTCTCTTCCTGTTCCTGGGGACCGTTGGGTTCCTTGCACGGAGCTGGTCTGGACCCCCTGCCCCACCCTCACCCATTTGGGCACGATCTGTCCTCCCGGAGGTGCACGGGCAGAGAGCACGGTGTGCTTCGCTTCTCTGACGTTCCAGTCGAACCCCGCGTCTGTGATCAGTCGGGGCAACGGAACATTTAGAGAGGGGGAGAGTGGCGGGAGGGGGGGGGGAGGTCACAATAGCACCGGACAGCTGTCCCAAGCACTGCAGACCCTCAGACGCCAGCGTGCACGTGTTCCGGCCTCTTCCAAAGCGGGCCAGGAGCAGAGACTCACGGGTTAGAGAGGATGCGGACTGTGCATCCGAGGAAAGCGAACATTCTCCGCCCACTGAGACCTTGGAGGTTATGGCCCTGGGAAGTGCCGAAAGGGGCTCCGGAGTGAGTAGGGCGATCGGCCCCGCTGAGATGTCCTAGCCACGTACGTGCGCGTGCCAACTCGTGAACGTTCGATGCGATCCCGCACTTGAAGCCCCTGCCCCTGGGTCTTTGGGCACATCCAAAGGCGGAGACTTGCAAGGCCAATTTGACTTTCTCAGGAACCCCTCCCGGAAATGAGGGGGTTTTGCCTCGGCAAAGTAGAAAAGCCGCTTTGGGCTGAGAACGTAGTCCGCAAGAGTGAATCAGAGCGATGTCCAGTGCTGGGGCCCCTCTTGTGCTCCTCCTGCCCCCAGGCTAAGGGGGAAACAGCGTGGCCAGTCCTCTTGGCCCTTAGGAAGGCTCCCGTGGCAGAATCCTGTTTGTCACGGGCATTCCTATCGAAGGCGCCCCAGGGACCCTGGATCCGTTCTTTGCCCTGACAGCACAGAACAGAGAGCGCGCTGCGTCCTCAGCCAGACACTGGTGTCAGACCCACGGACCCTTATGCGTGTGTGTCCTGCCCGACGGGTGGGCCTCACTGCTCTGTGCAGGGCGGGCGGCCTTCCCCACAGGAGCCCCCGCTCGGGAAACGGGCAGTAGGGATGCTTCCTGCCCCCTGCACCGCCAGGTCCCTGAGCTACCCCGTCAGTCCCCTCGGGGCCGTCGTGAGTGTCTTTTGGGAGCCGGGCAGCCAGCTGCATGCGGGCCTTGTGGGAACAGGGCGGGGGTCCTCCTCCTGGGGCCCGGCCCGCGGCCCCCATGCCTCGTGCACCGCCCAGCCTGTCCTGACCCTGGCCTCGGTCTGCAATGTCTGGGGTCTCGTCCTCCTGTCTCCCCGCTGCCAAGCCCTCACTCCCCAGTCCCCTCACACTCATCTTTGCTCGGGAGGCCCCAGCCACGAATCCCGCTCAGCGTGCCCGTGCTTCCGCTAGAGCTGACTCAACACCCTGGTGGCGGGTGCGCCCGGGGCCCGCGAATGACAGTCATCGCCCTGTGACTGTGTGAGACCGTGTACAATGCTGTGTTCCTTTCGGAGATCTCCTGTGTAACCCCAACTGCTTCATGAAGCTGGTGGCCTTGTGCAAGTGACTCAGACGCTTTGCTTCCTGAGGCTGAGCCAGAGAGGGCGTGTGTCCCTGTCAGCCATCCCCAGAGCCTGCTGGGACCCTGGTGTCTGCAGTCGGGCCGTTGGAGCAGAGGAGAGACTTGGCAGGTGACGGCGTGGCCACCGGGACGCTCCCCCACTCACCCCAGACACCCCCAGTCTCAAATGAGGACTTAGAAAGCAGCCATGGAGGAGCGGGTTCGGGTTCCCAGGCGGCAGGCTGTACAGAGGCTTGGCCGCCCCAGGAGAGGTGGAAGGAGGAGCACCCCCACCGCATCCCGTCTGGACTGCCCTGGGCTGAGCAGGGGAGGGTCAGGGGAGCCCAGAGGAGGCTGAGGTGAGCTGGAGCCTGTTTGACCTCGTGAACTGGGTGCTCTTGGCCCAAGTCCCAGGACTGGAGCCCGTGGGGCACTCCAGGATGGAAGCAGGGGTTACTCTGCCAACAGGACCTTCCCATGTTCCTTTTGTGGGGAACGGATGCGTCCAGCTCTAAGGGGTATAACAGTGTAGCAGCTAGGACATGCCCTAGGCCTTCAACCCATTTCCTTGGAGTCATTCCTAGAATGCAGTTCTTTAGCCATAGCCTGCTATGCGGGCTCATGCCACCCAGGTCCTCAGCTATCCTAACCAGGGCAAGGCATATCAGACAGGAGCTCCACAGCCCAAGGACTCTCAGTCATTGTGTTTCTGCTCTGAGGATCTGATGTTTTCCTCCAGGTGTAGCTAAACTTGCTCTGCATGCTGGTGTTCTTTGCAAGGAGTTGAGTTCCTCCTGACTCTTGCCAGACCTTCCCTGTGGCAGACACCACTGCAGATGTCTTAAAGCCCTTCTTGGGCAAATCGTGTTTGCAGGCCTACATCTGGCATCATTGGCAGCCTCCTGCTCTAATCCAGGGAAGACGTGTGAGGCAGGGTTCAGGCAATGGTGCAGGGCTTGAGAAAAGGAGTGGATTGTGGAGATGTTTATGAGATGGAATAATCCAGACTTGTGTATGATAATATGCTTGGGAGTTAAAGGAGAGGAAAGAAAGAATATTCAGGGGTTTTTTCCACACCGGTTTTGTGTGCTTGTGTTTACTTTTCTTTTTTCTTTCTTTTTTTCCCTACCCATTATGTTTTGTTCAGTTTCTTTTTGTCCTTTTTATTTAAAATTTTCAATAAACTATTTATTTTAAACTATTTTATTTTAGCTTTGTGAACAATTTGCAATGATAGTACAGAGTTTGTATATGTGAAGATACTAAAACCTGGGCTAAGGAAGGAAGGTGACAATGAGAATCAAACAGGATTTGGGTACTGTCTGTGGGCTTTAATAACCTAGAGTTCTTCTGCCTGAGCCCCAGAGTTCTTTGAGAACTGACTGCCCAGGCGCTGGCATTTTTTTCCAGACTTAGCACTTCCCCAAATTACAGCAACCTTTCCCTGGTATTCCTCTATGTGCTCTTTTGCCTAACTCTTGAACCTGGCCTGCTAGTGTGCTCATCACCGGTCCCCATGGAACAGCTAGGGAGCACCTTCTCTCCCCCAACATAGAACCTTACTCTCTGTTGTAGTCTCCTGGCCACTAAATGCAGTCCCTGCTGGGATTACAGAATCA